GGAAGGAAGGAAGGAAGGAAGGAAGGAAGGAAGGAAGGAAGGAAGGACCAAAGTAAACAAACAAACACATCAACTAAAAAAATGATGACTGGCTTGTAAAATAGAGAAAATAAGTATCTAGGGCCTGGAAATAAAGGTTACAGAAAATACAAGAAAGGTCAAATGTACATCAAGGCAATTCTGATAGCAGAATCCAAAGTTCAAGAATTTGAGGCACAAGGTATCTCCAAAAGTGAAAGATGAACAGCATTGCTACAGGGTCTTCACGAAAACCAGAGACAGACACCCCATCCGCACAGCTGTCTGTCTCTCAGAGACAGGAGAACCATGCAGAACGATGATGAGATTCCATGAAACAGAACGTCTGGATTCTGTCCACATTAAATAAGTGGGATTACACTGAAAATATACATCCTATATTCAAGTCACAACAAAATCCAGCAAATGGAAACAGCCTAACTATCTGTCTCTATTACACATACATTGACACGATACTGAGCCATACCAAAAAGAAAAAGAAAAGAAATACTGACATTAGTTACAACTCAGATGAAACTGGACATGCTAAATGAACAAAGCCTAGAATGGAAGCCAACACCATTCGGACACAATGATGCCTGGAGAGGGAGTGGGAAGGGGGGCATGGCAGGCAGACCAGTGACTGCTAAGTGAGATACAAGTTCTGGAGGGCTACTGCATAGTAATTACTTACTGAGCATCTTGGAGAGCAGCTTTTGAATGTTTTTAACATAATGAAACAATGTCTGAAGAGACAGATGTTTGACCTACTATAAACATATATATATATATATAATGTTTTTATATAATAGCTTAGATTAAGTTTAAATTCTAAGAAATATAAATTATAACCTGAACAATTTGTTATACTCTGTTTTCTATCTCAAACTGATTAGTTCAAGAAAAGATATTGAAATTACTAATGAAATGTGTGTGCTAATGAAATTTCTACCCTACACCCAACAGTAATTAAGATCCACTAGTCACCAAGTCCAACCCATTCACAAGAGTTCCCAGTGAGCTTTCCAGACTCTCGATCTTAAATGTGAATGCTGAAGGACTGGCAGGTGTTGTGGACCTTTTCCTTAGGGTAAAACAAGGCCATAGCACTGTGATCAGAGCACTGTACCTACATTTATGAAACCCTCACAAGATTTGGTCTGTGGCTCTGCTTCATAGAAAGGTTATTTAAGATTCACTGGACTCTCATGTGAGATTCTAGCTTCTTCTGTTTCATGTCCCACCTACACATGATCTCAGAAGGAACTCCTGGAGAATACAGAAAGTGCAAAGTTTACTGAAGGCAGGGAATCCAGCTTCCCGGCTTTCAGGAGGAGATAGGCATTTTCAATGATGCAACTGTTTACAAGTCACTATTCCTGTGAGAACGCTAATAAACTTCCAGCTTACCAAAGTAGACTTGGATGAAATTATTTGTCTGTTGCTAGTACCTTATCTTGGGTGAATGCACACTGTTCATGTCTCCTTGGAAAAGTTAACACATTTGGTGCTCAAACAGAGACAGGCACAACAGCGGTAAAGTGACTTTGGATCCGGTTGTAAGTGGGTGAGGCAACACAGGCTAAGGCTGATGGCAGAGGAGCTGCACAGGCAATTCTGACATGGACAGCTTCTCCTTCTATGGAATGGTGAGTCTCCTTGCTGTAGTCACAATAGAATTACCTCTACTGTGGGTGGCAATGCCTGCAACTGAGTCTTCCTGTTCCTAGGGAAGAACCTGCCTACTTAAGGAAAGAATGACAACGAGGAGAAGGTATGTGGTGGCATCCTCCACGCTAGTAGACACGGGAATGGAAAAGAGGTACTGGCTCACTGAATTCTTAACAGCTGGAGGGGCATAAGGGAAGCACAAATTACATCTTCTCTACATACCCCCTCCTGACATCCAAAGCCGTGGAGTCCAACAGACCAACTGAACAATGGGAAGGGGAAAAGGGAGGTGGAAATGGTAGCAATGGGGCTACTGCTGGCATTTCGTCTAGGCTCCGCCCCACAGTTACCTGGCAACAGCCAGGTGTGTCTGACTCACTATAAAAGGGGCTGCTGGCCCCCTCCTCACTCTTGTGCTTTCTTCTCTTCTCTTGCCCTTGCTCCCTTACCCTCTTCC